ATTGAAGGAGGAGGAACAGAAGGAGTGTGAATGAATAGTTATATATATATATAGTAAACAGGGGCAGACATAAGATTTTTCCTTCATTTAATGATATTGTGATTGTGTTGAACTTTTTTTGTTTTGTTTTTAATTAAATGAAATAAATAATAATAAAAAATACATTTTGTCCTTTTGAAAAACGAAAAGGTGGCCCAAGTTTGGATAGAATTTACGGAGAGTTCTGCCTTTCTCTACTTCTGAACTATTTCATACATCATGTTCTGTGACTGATGTCATGGTTAATAGGGTTCAATTGAAAACTATTTGACAGAACATGACTTGTTCATTTCCCTTAGATTTTTTTTTCATAACTTCTCTACAAATCCACACCTCAAATTTGCCAAAATATCCTTTTCACCAAATCATTGCATACCTTTGTATGAAAGCCAGTGAAGTTGCTGTAGGACCAGGGTGATGTTGTGAAATAAGGGGCTTTTGGTGATGATTCAGGCAGCTGAACGTTGGACCATTTGAAGCTGATGAAGGTATTTGTGAGGCAGACAAAAAAGGAGAGCATTGCAATAATCAATTTAGGAGATAATGAGACTACTAACATTATTTATGAGAGAGTGAAATGAGAGAGTGCCATCAAGAACAACACCCAAAAAGTAAAAAAAAATAATAAAGTAGGTCTTCTGGACGGGTTCTTCTTTAGTGAAACATTTCGTCTCTCCTCCAAGAGACTTCTTCAGTCTGATGAGTTTCAGGTGAACTCAGCCTTATAAGCACTGCCTCCACGTGGACAAACAGGTTAGTCACATGCAAAAGAGGGCCATCAGCCATACAGTAGGTTGTTAGTGCCTTGATTGTCTCTATTGTTCATAGAGGGTCATGTGCCCCATCACCTGACTATCTTTGGGGCCCTGATTCACACCTTTTGCTCACAGGGGGCTGAGTCRTACTTACAATAACAGCGCTGTAGGAGGAGGACAACTGGACACGGAGGCCTCCACCTCTGTTTAATGATGGACGGTCTTTCTTCACAAAAATGGCTTCTTTTACTCCTCTCTCAAACCAACGTTCCTCTCTATCAAGGATGAGAACATCCTCATCTCTGAAAGAGTGACCGCTGGCCTGTAGATSAGTGTAAACTGCAGAGTCCAGGGGTCAGATTTATAAAACTGGCGTACGCACAATTTGAGCCCAGAAACTTGCGTACGCCACTTTTTACTCCAAGGTTGTGATTTATAAAATCCAAACTTGACGTGAAAATGTGCGGTGCCTCACGCCAGCTCTGACCCATGCGTACGCTCATTTTGGAGACGTGAAACTGCGACACAGATGGTGAAGTAAGGAGTCAGAGCCACACTGTGTAATGATCACTGTCAGAGATTTAATTTACCTTCAGAATCAGACTTAAATAAAAGTTCCTGTGCGCAACTCCATTCATCTGCTTCCTCCTCAGACAACCCTGACCCACACAGACCCCTCCCCGATAAGAACAGGACAGCAAAAGCTTTGGATACACGCGCAGGGCGTGTATCCAGTCCGTGTTTGTCACGCGCGCGTGCGGGGCAGGGGTCTGCCGCGGGTAACAGAGCAGGCAGGAGGGGGAGAGGACGAGGAGAAGAGTAGTGGACTTATTCCTAATTTTATCTGACTTATTTAATTCAATTTTTATTGCTTTTATCGTCCTGCAGGCTCTGATGGAAAATTAATTTGAAGTTGAGGATTTTTTTAATATAAATCGTTAGATTACTCTAAAGCAAAATGAGGGAAAATCTGTGTCAATTACAGACATTCTGTTCACGTGAGCAGCTGTCAGTCAGCACCTGTCATCCTCCAGACGCACAACGGAGCGTGTCTGAACCAATCACTTTTGTTGGCATTGATCAGCTGACTGATTTAAATACATCTTAACATTCATGAGGTACTTTACATTGACTGTTTATGGTTGAATGTGGGCGTGTAGAGGGTAGAACCTGAGGCGGGACCTCGTGCGCAATCTCTGACGTGCGCCTGTGATTTATAAAGGAAAGATGCGCAGAAACGTGCATACGTATGGTTTTATAAATCTGAAAATTTTTTTGGCGTACGCCATTTCCGCCTTTTGGCCGTACGTTCACTTTTAGTATGGTTTCCACGCAATCCTTTATAAATGAGACCCCTGACCTGTAGATGTAGCTTGTCTGTGCTGGTTCATTCTTTTGAACAGTGGCTGCTTTGTTTCCCAAATGTATGACTGATCACAGTCCTCCTGACACTTTGCAGCATATACAATATTACTCTGTTTGTGCCGGGGACACCCAAACATTTGATCCGAGGGGAGGGAGGTACCAACGAGCTGTTATGGGAAGTTTGAAGAAGGAAGTGAGGGAGGAAGATGGAAGTGATAAATTTGGTGCAGTCTATAAAAAGAGCTGGGTGTCGTCGGCAAAGCTGATGAAAAGAAGGGGCCCCTGGACACAGCCCTGGGGCTTACCTGCAGTGACAGAGGAGAGGGATCTGAAGGATCTGAGATGAATATACTGAGTGTGGTCAGAGAGATATGACTGAAACCAATGGGAGGTATGTGGGTGATGCCTATGGATGATAATCTATAAAGAAGGATGTTGCAGGAGACGGTATCGAAGGCTGAACTCAGATTAAGGAGGATGAGGATGCACAAACCAGAATCTCACCTATATCTCACTTTACTCCACAAATCTGCACAGAAATACATAATGTCACAATTTTCAAACTTCTCCATTCCAAACAGCTTTTTCAATGTTGACATTCTGTCACTTGGACTAATTTTGTACAGAAACACTTTTAGTTGGCGTTCAGTCACGTATTGTCACCTTCCTAAAATAAGTTTTTCAAGAAATACAAAAAACCTAATCAAAAGTTGAACATACGTTGTGTTTCTTTAAAAACTTGGTAGAAAAAAAACAATTAGGTAATTATTTTAGGAAGGTGATGATATTTTGCTTGCAATTTTGAAATTTAAGAACATATTAACTAGAGATCGACCGATACAGGTTTTTGAAGGCCGATACCGATACCGATTTTTTAAAAATCAGTCTAACCGATACGCCGATACGAGCAGCCGATATTTTTGGGCCGATTCTTGAAGCCGATACTAACTTTTCTTCCTCCATTAACAATGATAACAATAACAAATGTTACACAGGTCTCAACTTAAAAAACATTTATTAATAAACAAAC